TTAATCATGCTTCTGAATAATTTTAAACATACTGCCTGCTTTGGATAGCTAATTAATTCTTGATGTCCCTAGCTATATAACTGTCTAGTATTATGACCCAACTTTCGATTTGTGTCGGTTGCGGATTCAAATTTTACATCTTAGCTATGCAGCGATTACTATTTGATTAGAAAATTCATTTCTTTAAAAAGAACTGACATCTCCGTGGACATGAAAATCTCGAGCTAGAATCATTTCTTTCAATCACTCGCACCGTCAAGACTCCCTTTTCATTACCGAATTTCACGTTGCACGGAAAATTTTGTTGATTTTTTATTTTTAAAACATACTTGATTAAGGGGGCGATTTGTCACTAGGGGAGACCGGGGCATGTGTGACAATAAATTTTCATCAACTTGAATATCCGCCTCATTAATGTTTTTCAGGATCGGACAAAAAATGTCGATAAGTAAAGCAGCTAAATTTTCAAAATCCGGCTTAAAAATTTTATTCTGTCTAATTAAAAATTGTTTATTGACGTTTAAAATCAGTCCGCTGAAATCTCTCGCATGCCCCGCATGCGGAGCATGTATGAAATACAGATGGGGCATGCGTGGTCATAGCAATTACTAGTCATTTAAGAGGTTAGGTACGCAGTCGGTCTGCTCCTCTGTTTCCCGCAGCGTATGCTTCATGCGTCACACATGCCCCATTTGGATTTTTTTTAAGATTGTTAACCCATTAAGTCCCAAGAGGACGTTTTTTCAACACTTTATTCGGCCACTGTATTTTTGGTGTAAATGGGGTCAAAAAAATATGCGAGTAACTAATTCTAATGTAAATTTAATGTCCTTTCAGAATCTGATCTCAGATTTTTGAAAAAGTGATTAGGTCAAAAGTTAAACTTGATTTTATAAAAAAAAAACGTGATTTCGACAAAAAAATTTTTTTTATTTTTCGAATTTCTAAATGAAAACCATTAGAAATCTTAGGGGTTTCGTGAAAATATCGTGTCCTCGATACCTAAACTAAAAGTTAGTGGGGTTTAGATTGAAGAAAATAAAGTTAAAAAATACACTTTTTTCTCAAGTCCTTCGTTTTTGAGTAAAAATTCTATACGTTTTCATTTAATTTTGCGAGTTTCAACCGCCGTTTTTTGTGTTTAAACATTAATTTTTTCAATCGGTACCCCGCTAACTTTCAGTTTAGATATCGAGGACGCGATATTTTCACGAAACCCCTAAGATTTCTAATGGTTTTCATTTGGAAATTCGAAAAATAAAAAAAATTTTTTTTTCGAATTAACGTTTTTTTTTTTTTATAAAATCAAGTTTTGACCTGATCATTTTTTCGAAAATCTGAGATCAGATTCTAAATGGGCATTAAATTTTACATTAGAATTAGTTACTCGCATATTTTTTTGACCCCATTTTTACCAAAAATACAGTGAACGAATAAAGGGTTGAAAAAACGTCCTCTTGGGACTTAATGGGTTAATAACTTTTAACCAGTTCAATATTGAACAGATTGCAAGGTCGGAAATGAAAGTTGAAAAGTTACACTTTAATTAAGTACTATTCAGATATGTTTCATTTATATTTATGATATTCAAGAATCGATGCGAAAAATCCAGACGGTGGCGTATAATCGTGTGAAATTTTAAACTAATATTTTTCTTTATAAATGATCAAATTGAATAAAATTAATGCATGGGGAATATTCATTGGTTGATGTTTAACATTTTTATCAACTTAAATGTTACAGAATTGATCTGTATATTGGGAAAATCCATTTCTCCACATACCCGGGTGTCACGGCATGCCCCGGTCTCCCCTACTGTGTGTCATCTCCGTAGTCAATTTTAAGATCAAAACTGAACATTATTTTCAAAAAACGAAATCTCAAGGTCCTAATTTGGTTGACTAATTTGGGCCGTTCAATGTGAAAAAAAAGTTCACCTTTTTTCATTTTCAATTCTCAGTTACGCAGATTTCGAGAGAATCAACCATATAAGTTTCATGCACATAAGCACTACATCATATATTTTCAAGAACTGTTTATATTACAATTGAGTTTGAAATTTTAATTATATTAATAAAATTAATAATTACAAATCTTTTTTATATGAACCTAACAAACTGAATTTTACCATTAATTTTAATTAACGTTAATTCCTTTCAGATAACATAGTAAATGAAGCTTGTGAATTGATACTTTTAAAATAAAATCCTCATATATTCATTCTATTTGGTTGTTTCAATGAATACATTTTTTTGCACACACATTGAATTCTGTTTCCTTATGTTAATTGATCATGTGAATTTCTAAATCATTTTTTCATCATATTAAAGAGAGGATTAATGAATGATATGGCACAATTACCATGACAAATTAGCAAAATTTTTCTGACTCAACTTATTTTACTGACCATTATATTGATAAAATGTATTAAAATATTGTAATGCAAGTAGTCACATTTCAAAACATATGGTACCAATGATAAAAGTAGAAATAATAAAACGTAATTGGCAAATATCAAAGCACTTAGAATTTTCAGGATATAGAAAAAATTACTCAAATTCTGGCACATAGTAACAAAATATATAACACATAAAAATTTTCTTTACTGACTACAACGCTTAAATCATTTGTAAGACAGTCTTGAACCAAATGTATGATTTTATTGTAATTAAATTTCATGTATAAAAATTTTCAAACATCATAACCTCAAAATGGAATTTTGTTCTCAATTTCCACATTAGAAAGTAAAGTTTTATGTGATATGAACATGTTTAGATAATGATACTCTCATCGAGATTTGCTTGCTTAGTGTATGCTTGCTTATTTTTAATTAGTTAGAGATTGATAAACATTGCATTGCATACATTTGAATGTAAATCCAAACAAGGAAGAAAGAAGAATTTTATTTTGAATTAATTAAATATTTATTAACATTAAAGAAATAGCAAAACCAGCCCAAAATCTAGTTTTTAATTAATTTTTTGGAAAAATTCACTGAATAATTGTATACAAGTTATATGTTCTTTAAGATCATATACATGGAGGTACATGTGGAATCTTTTAGAGAAGAATTTAGTACAAGATTCTGAAAACGAGATTGTAAATTTGGTTTTTCAACTGGATTTGAAATACCCTTAAATTAAGTTCCAAACAGACTTCATTTCACCCACATTGAATTAAATTGGATTTTTTAGTAATTTCTTATGTCCATGAAAAAATGATCAAGGTCCTTGATTAAAAATAAAACCAAGAAACAGATGGCTAACGACTATAGATGTGACTTGGCCTTTTAAGGGTTTGATTTTTATTCAATTGATAGCTGATTAAAAAGGGTTGATAACTTTTGGTAAAAACCAAATAAGTGGGTGTAAAAGTGGGTACAACTTATACATGGTTTTCTATCCATAAACTGGATTTTTATCCGGACTTATTGACCTTTTGCAATTAAAGGGTTCATATAAACTACAAGTGACAGAAGATTATTCTTAAAGTCTGCTAAAACTGTAGAAATAAAAAACTAATTTATATTAATGTTAGCATAAGGAAAATTTTCAGAATGGATTACAGAAAATGTTGCCTACTTCCATAATTTTTGTAAGCAAGCAATGGTATATATTGGTCAATGTTAATTATAAGACATTATCAAGGATTCATGACCAAGAATAGATAAAACAAAATTCTTTATCCACATTCACTGTCTTCGTAAGAGAAGTTAATAATAATACTAAGTAATAAAGTTTAATAATAATAATGAAAGATTATTCATAAACTAGGTATATAACGCAGAGCAGTTCAAATAGAAGTTAAAATATTCAAATACATGTTGTACCCGTAAGAATTTTCAAAGTTTTTTAATAAGTACAATGAACTATTATGTTCCTTAAAAAAAAAATTTTGTAAACTGACAGATCATGATAGGTTTGATTTTGAAAATGAATCATTATTTACAAAATATTAAAGGTTGAAAACTCATAAAAAATTTGTGTTAATTCTTATATACTTTTTTTAAGATTTTAAACTTGTATAAAATTCTATATGATTTAATGAATTTGTTTCTAACATAAATGTCATAGGTAAGTTTTAAGCATGGATTTAAAAATATACATAACAATGTATTATAAAATAAATACACAATCATTGGAACATAAGTAATCAATTTTTATTTCATTGGTAACTATGATCTGAATTCAAATTTAAGAATTGAAAAATTTAATCAAAACTCGATATTGTTATAATACGTACAAAAGTAAGTACATATATAACTTCAACTTTTTTAAAACTGACACCTTGCTTTTCAAGATGACAATTGAGCGTACTATAACTATCCATGTAAAAGTTGCTTTTTTTCAAGTGTCATGTGTATTATCATCATCTTTTTTTTATTGCTTTAATATGCAACATAAAGAGCCAAAGCAAGAGAGAACAAATGTATAGACAGAAAAAGAAAAGAAGATTAAAAGCAGTTATTTATTGCAATAACATGTACCATAAAAAAATTTCATTCACTAGTCTAATATACTAATTTTTAATTTAAAATTAAAATATTACAAAATATTTTTAGCTTTAATTCAAAGAATTTTTTGATATAATTTAGTTTTAAAACTAAGTGTAAAAAACCTATATATGATTGGTTCATTTCAATTGCACAATCGAGTCATCTTAAAATTAAATACTTGAAAATTATTAGAAAATCTTCAAGTATATTGATACAGCGCCTTGAATTGAAAATTTGAAGTAATTATAGCATCATGATAAGCATATTTTGCTAAATGTTTAATTAATATCTTTTATTGAGATATTTCTATACTACTTCCAACAAAGCACAGAAACTAGATAATTGATAGTTTAGATAGAAAACATAATACAAATACATAAGAAGTTGAGTTAAAGTAATTTTTTGAAATGTATGAAGTATGCTATTAAACTATGAACATTTCTAACCAATCATAATTAATAGTAAATGTTAAATAAATTTAAATATTAAAATATTCACATCTTACCTGGATTAGCCATGAACCGAACAGCATTACTATTTAAAATTGCTGAACTGTATTGTTGGACATGTGGTGGCTGGGATAAACCAGAATTACTAGCTTGATTAGCACTAAGAATATGCTGGTTTTGCAATTGAGTGTGGTGACTATGGTGAGCATGATATTTCCCTTTGTTAGGCATGCTCATGGCCCAGCTTTATGAAACTGCAGTAATTGGTGTTAAAATTATAAGATTAAGAATTTCTTACCATTACACAATAATTTATGAGTTATTAGTTTATTAAAATCAGAATTATTTTTAATCAATATTTAGCAACACTGTTTCTTGTCAAGTTTTGAAATTTTACTAATAGAAATTTCAATTAAAATCACTTCAAGTTCATAACTGATTTCGGAAACGCGAATTCAATAATTATTTGACTTCAATATGTACAATCAGCAAATTATAATTCTATGTTATATGGTAAGAAATTACGATCATTATTCTCTTGATAAATATTCATGTAACAAATCTCACTAGTTCTTACATAACTTTCCGACAATTAAAGAAAAGTTCTTGATCAAAATACAATGAATTATTTATTTCTTAAGTAAATTCACTAAGAAATTTTGCATTTATAATGATTGAATAAGAATACAAGATCGTACTTTAGTGTGTATAAAATCTTGATACGAAAAGAAATTGATACTACAAAACTTGTAAACATCTGCATGTACCACTAGTTCCGAATCTTATCCTTCGTTAGAAATATGTTTCTTATGCTAGTTGAGGGTTATCTTCAATGAAACAGAAACCACAGAATACAGATGTTGAAATACAAGTACATGTACTGAGTAACGGCATTGATTCTGTCCGGTAAAACATAGTAGGGGGAACGCGTACAAATGTAGATAGTTCCACGTTTCACTGGGGAAAATCAATGCATAAGGAGTGTGGATCATATTTTTTTCCTAGATTTTTATTAAAATTCACATTATTTTTAACTTTTAATAAAGTTATATTGTTAGAATAATTTCCTTATATTATTCATAAAAATTAAATTATATCAATTTTTTTATATGAATTTTCGGAGGCTGTAGCGATGCAAGGTGGTTCTGTATTAAAGCGCTACATGCGCAAGGCTATATGCGTTACGCAGCGCACAGCGTTAGAATGGCAGAACATACGGAAAAAATGTTCAATTAAAAAAAAAATTAAAAAAAAAATGTAGAATAATAATTCAGTTTACGGATGATTTTTTTTACAGTTCAAAAATTATATAATGAGTATGTCTCAAATTTTAAAAGGAGGCCCTCGTTGGCTGAGTGGGTGAGGCTCTTGCCTGCTGAAACAATTAGTGCTGAAGTGGTTCGGATTCCACTTTAAACTGTAGGGCCAGTTGTGGCGCGTTTACGCATAAAAACAAGCTTGCACTGTGGCAGTTCGTGAGTCTAAAAAATATTATTAATGAAGAAAGATTATAGAATTTATTGTGCAATTATAAATTGTAACACTATAAATGTGGAAACCATCCCGACATATTTCTTTTTGCCATCAAATTTTTAAATAATTATTTTATAATAATTTTTACATTATTAGTTTATTTATTAGTGTAACATACGTTACAATAACATGCTAACATACGTTCCAATTCCTGTTCCTCGAACAAATATACCCACGTATGGTGAGTTCACGCATTAAAATAAGTGAAAACTGCGGTCACCGCAAAAAAATTAAGCTTTCATTTTTTTCCGATTCTGTTGCAAGAAGAATTTTTACGAATTATCTTATAAAGAGAAAACTTTCAATTGCGGTCACCAGTGGGCAATATTGAGAGGCCGCTATTAGGAGGTGACCGCGATTCAGAAAATCTAACCCACAATACTTTGCATATTTTACCTCCAAGCAAATCGTAAAGTGACCATTTTGTGACAATTGGAAAACGCCCCTGTACTTAGTTTTATCAATATATTTATTTGAATTATAAATTTTGTATTTGATAAAAATGTTTTTTTTTTTATTAATTTCAGCGAGAAAATAAAATTGTGGTAATATTGCGAGAAAATTATGGAAAACGAGCTAAATCAACAATTATGCTATCATTTTTTTTCCGCGCAATTTTACATCAATTTTATTTCCGGCGAGATTTAATGATCTATATTATCAATAATCTATTTATGAAAATGAATAACTTTCAATAACTTAAAATTTGTGCTCAATAAATATTGAATAATTATTTTAATAAGAAGTTTTACGAAGTTTTCACCGAAACTTAGCATCAGCCTCTCGAATCTCATTGCACCTCTCTACTCTAAGACCCCCAAACTTATTTATATTTTTACAGCTATAAATGTAAAGGTTAATGTCTTAACTGATATGGTGCATTATTTCAAAAGCGTGATATGACATGTCTTGTTATTGTAGAAAACTTTAAAAAAATGAAAACTAAGACGGTAGAGCCTTTCATTTCAACGAATTTAACCTTCCGCAACTATAAAATTTCCATCAAAAAAGACCACATTGATTTGCCAGCCGGATTATAAACACACAAAATGTCCCCTCCGTGACCTGTCCTGAACTCAGAATCGATTGTTTTCACTCATTAAAAACATTTTTACAAATATCCAGCAATATCGTGGTACATTGACCTTATTCTATACATCCTAAAGAAAGTTTTTTTTCATCACTCGTCATCTTAAATAGTTTCAAAACAATTGTACATAAGTAACGAATGTGTCTTTAAATTATGTGAAATTTTACATCATTACAAATATAGTGCCAGTAAACGTGCTAGACAATAATTTTGACCTCTCTAACTATACGAGGGTCATCTTTCAGAACTAAGGTACTCGATTTTTACCCGTAGAATATTCAAATCCTAATTGCAGCTTCGCTATAACAATAGTTGCACACGAAAATCGTAATAGTAAAATAAAGTGTCCCCTCCGTGATCGACGAGTTTTCGAGCTAGCAATTTTTGTTTTTGACTCTGGTGGCATAAAAACGTTCGTTTTTACAAACAATTTTTGTGGGTGATCGAAGAAAAAATTTCAACTTTGTTGTTGTCGGGAAATTTGATAAAAGTGCGATTTGCCCCCTCCGTGAGTGTCCCCTCCGTGACAAATTTTCATGTTTGCAATAAGAAAATAAACGGATTAGATGATGGCCGGTAAAAAGTAAATATTCCATGAAAAAACAAAGAATCAAGAATCAGAAACTACGGGGGTCCGGAAAAATTAAACTCAAAAAATAGAAGAATAGAAGAAAATAAGTTTTTCAATTTTTCCAATATTGCCCATTTTACCCACTCCAAATATCACACTTTTGAAATAATGCACCATATATGGTGACTGAGTCTTTCTAGAGGACCTGAGTTCAAATTAAATTCTCATCCAATTTTTTAGATAGTTAAATAATATTAATTTAAGTTTTCTCGATAAAAATCCCCTAAAGAAGTTAAATAATCTAATCCGCTGACAGTTAATAAGGAATAATGACGCAGAACATAATTTGGATCGAATTTATGTTTTTTATCTTCGACGATGATGACTGCGGTCAACTGGGGTCTGCGACGACCCTGATACGCTTTATTTTTGGGATACGTTTATGATAATATAAAAGTCCTTACTGTACCCGCAAACCTGATACACAAAGTAGACAGGTCATAGTTCACTAATACCATACTGCCCTAAAGGCATATTGGATTTCAACATGATCAACTAAAAATTGGTCAAGTACAAATCGCCACCCCAGGCTGGGTCCCCAGCGCAGGAAGGTACTTGTATTGCTTTCAATTCTGCAGCATAAAGGGTACTTACTCGCGCGTAGGGGTAAAAAGGTAGCTTGATCGAGCGTGGCACCAAAACAGCACCTTGTTCAAATGCAGGGGCAAGAAAGTTTTGACTGGCTGAATTAGTGTGGCAACACAGCCAAATCTATCTACTTATCTATCTACTTTCTCTTTTTATTTTATATTATATGTATTATATATATATTATATATTTATATTATTTTGTTTATTTTATTTTATTTTTATTTTTTTTATTATATATTATATATTTAATTCTTTTTTTAATTTTAATAATTTTAATTTTAACTTTTAAAAAAGAGAACGGCCGGAAAGTAATGCCGCGTAAAACGACCTCTGATTGGCAAACACTGACGACGACACCCGACGCGATACGAGCGCCTGCGCTGCTAACTGTCAACAGACAGTTAGTACTTAGCGCTGCTAACTGTCAACAGACAGTTAGTACTTAAGTAACCTCAACTCAAAACACGAATGAAAAAATTTACCCCCACGAAGCGCGTTTGAAACTTACTCTTTCTGAAATAATTGTGAATCTTAAACTAACCTCAAAACACAAATAAAAAAATTGAGCGCCCTTTAAACGTCTGATATGATAAAATTCTGTTTAAAAATTCAACATTCAAAATTTAATTCAAACACAGTTGAAAAAAAATGGCGTCGATTATCCACGTGGATTCCCCGTGGATCAAACATCGATATCACGTGGATCATAAAAAAAGTCTACGTACGTAAGCCTCAAGGATTTATGAAATATCCGTGTTGATTTTCGATGAACCCACGAGGCTTTCCACTGGGCTCCTCATTGATGTTTGATCAATCCACGCGAATTTCCTCAGAAATCCTGGTGGATCTTCAACTATCCGTTTCTTGTGGTGAAATCCTCTTGGATTTTGAGTGGAAAACAATCGTGAGGTAATTTTTTTTTTATTAAGAATTATCAGTAATATGAGAAATTATTTACTCAATAATTTAGAGTATATTATTTACTTGTAAACTTAATAGGAGTGTAAAAGTTCCCCGAGACCTGGGTTTGAACCGGTGATCAGTCGGTTTCAAGTCCAGCTCCCTACCACTTGAGCTATTCATTGATATTACGCAAGAGCTATCGAACAGTTATATTACTCAAATTTTCTAAATATCGAATACATGTGTAGAGACTTGCACGCCAGTACAAGCACGTTTTTCTTAGTAAAACTTGCTGGTTTTCAACTGGCACTGTGTTTAAATTGATTCTCGGTGGAAACTTATGTGGTACATCTTCTCAAAGATGCGTCGCTATAATCATCACTAAAGGATGAAAATACCTTTTTCCTCGGATTTGGAGTAAATCACCAGCAACTTGGATTACTAAATCTCTCCGTAACTCCAGTAACAGTGCCACTCGCAACTACTATGCTAATTATAGCAGTCACATTTTCCAAATTATTGTGCTAGTAAGAAGGAACTTCTTGAGTCAATAAGGTCGTACAAACAGCGACAAACAGCAGGCATTATTTATTCGTGCTGCAGAATTCATCGAAGCAAATCATTTTTTTGTGTGGGGTCTCCTTGACCCCATGTGACCACAGTGTGATCGAAATTTCGGAAAAATTTTGAAAATAAATTTCATAAAATAACGTGTTCAATTGATTTTTGAGAACGTAAGTGTCAGTATGCGTGATCATAATTTTTTCTCCACATTGAAACGATTTTAACAATGTTGAAATGGACTATTCAGATGCCATATAATCTTCGCAATCGACCCGTCATCAGTTCGCATAAAATTATCATTTATTATAAAATATGATAAATATCATATGTCATCAGTTATCATAAAATTATCATTTTATGATAATTTTTTTGTTTAATTTCATCTTTTTTTATTGATATAATTAATAAATGTACTATAAAAAAATATTTTTCAGTGTTATATTTTATGATAATATCCTCTTCACATTTCAAAATTTCGTCAAAACGGCTTCGTCAAAATCTTCAAAATAAATATACTTTTTCCGGCCGATCATTATAAATTATTTTTCTCTTGAAAGTATATAATATCAAGAGTAATAACCCGGAACATATCCGCTGTATCTCAAAAATTGAATGTTTTATGACATTTTTAGTGAAAAAACATGAAATTTCGAAAAAAAAAGTTCATTTAATCTTTTCATTATTAAAAACATTATAAAGAGGCAACTAAACAATTTTCTCTCAAACGGGTACTTATAAACTATGTCCGGACCAATTTTTAAGTCGATACAATTAATAGGAGAGAAATGGCAGAGTTTTTTCCGCGTGGGGTCACGCTGACCCTATGTGACCACCACGTTATTATTCGGAGGTGTGACCACAACGGGTTAAAGCCTATAATCGTTGCGGGCTGTGAATAAAAGGTAACAAAAATCTCGTAATTTTCGTTGAATCTGAACTCGATCTGGTGAGTCAACGTGAAAGGTCCAATTCAGCTGTCAATACGTAAATTATGCTTATGAAAGCCGTGTTGTCAGTTCAGCAGTCAGTTATTTGTTTCCAGACATCCTCATAAAGTTTCTTCCCAATTTATTCTAATTATAAACTATTTTTATTACACTCAATTGATACATTTCCGAATTTCTTGCTGAGAACACTGTTGTGCCCTCTTGATATAGGATATTTCATTTCTTTTCTTTAGCTTTTTATTTCAGATATGGTGTACTGATGTCTGCCTTCAAAAGTAGTCTCTACAATAAGGTTAGCTTGGCCTAACTGAAGTAAGGCTTTACTATCTAGGCAACTGTAATGATAGCTGAAGGCAGGTAATAGTTTGCTTATCGCGTCGCGTAAGCTACGAAACCGATCAGAAGCACAAGTTTTTCCAAATCTATCTTATTTTTCCAATAATTAAGATACTTTCAAAGTCTTGAGAAAATGGTATCTCAAACAAGTATGAATACGTTTTTCTTGAGCAGCGAAGCGTTTCGTCACAAGCCGAAAGTGATTACTGTTCAGACTTTTGCAAAAAAAACTTATTCACAAAAATTTCATACGATACTTGATATCACAATAGCTTAAAATTAGCGGAAAAGTTGCGATTTGTAGGTAAAAAAAAGTCTTTTGGAATTGAGTTAGTTACGAGTTGAATAATTGAATAAAATTTGTTTCTTTCAATTGCTTTATTAAAAGTGAAATAAAACAATATTTAAGGTAAAATATAAATTGTGAGCTTATGACGATGTAACCGTGAGATGAGTGTTTTACACAATCAGTTTAAATGGACATTTAAATGAACATGAGTTATATGAAGTTTTAGATTATAACAAACCTTGTCCACAATATTAAAGAAATTTTTAATAATATAATACTCATTACAAAAATGATATAATCAGAATACATGTATCAAGCTTTCATGAATAAAAGAATTTGGTTTCACTTAAACTTATAATCATTGACAGAACATAGTTTACTTTAGTATGTTATGATTAAAATTTTCAATATTAAATGAACATAGAATCGACTATACATACATACGTATCGTTAAAAAATTCAGAAATATTTTTCAATAAACAATTCGTGAAATTTTGATCTTATAAAAAATGTTTGCATTGGTTACTTTTTAAAGATAATTTAAATTTTTATATATAAAAACTGTGCTATAATGCATTATTAAAATCATTATACAGGGATTCTGTTTTCCACTATTTCATGATTAGTATCGCCGTTCACGAGAATCAGATCTTGAACGTCGATCTCGGCTGCGACTTCTAGTTAATGATTTTCTTCTAGGACTCCGGGAACGAGATCTGAAAAACATTCATTCATTTACTTAATTTTAGATACTTTTATGCATAGTAAAATTATTTAATAATAATTTTTGATTCATTTTAAATAATAAAAGGTCAAGAATCATTCGGTAATATTATATAATGAGCGCTTTCATTCCTATACACAAGGAAAATGTGTGTAATAATTAAAAACAAAATAAAAATAAGCGTAACTATATTCTTTAATTGATTAAAATGTTTACTTAAACATTTTATAATAAAGAAGAAGAGAGTCTCATATTTTTGAATGCAACTTTTGATTAACATAATAATATGGTTTACTATTTACTCTTATATTAATTGGAACTACAGTCAAACCCCGTTATCCGCGGGAGTTCGGTTCCAAAAAAGTACCGCGTATACCGAAGCATTGTTCTTATGGGAAAAGGGGGGTTAGGTTCTTCGTCCAGCTGAAATGTCAATGTACGAAAGAATAAAACAACTTTTGAAAATGAAAGTATTTATTCATTTTCGAGTATAATAACACTGCAATGATTTTGTTATATCTTGCTTGAATTGAAGACTGTGAGTCATCATTGGATCATGATTTATGGCTCGTTCAATGAGTTCTGATCGAAGACTCGTTGACGTCGAATCTTCTAGCGAGGGTAGCAACTTTTTCACCAGTTGTCAATGCATCGAGAATTTTGATATTTTAGTCCAAATCAAGGCCTTTTATGGCGCTTTTTTCCGTTTTGAAACTGTTTTTTTGACGTTGGTTGAGTCATACTTAAAAAAAATTAATAAAAAAATTTTTTAATTTTATGTGCACAAAATGTTAACCTCCAGAAAAAAAACCGCGGATACTGAATTTGGATCATAAACGAGGGTACTGCGGGTATGAAAATAAGATTTAATTCACTACATCAAATAAACATGTACAACTAATTCGTTCAGGCTTTTTCGGCAGCTGCAGCTCATATGTGCTAGGATTCATTGCGTAATTTAAAAATTGTTGTTTTCGTGTGGCAAGCTCTGGTGAAAGAAACAAAGGAAGACTGCAAGCTAATTCTAGTCGATAGTAACCTTTAAAAGGAGCTGCTATTGGTGGAGAATAAATTCTTCAACTTTTAAATTTACTGAATAAGCTATAACTTTACTTTTGACGAAGCTATACCGTGCTCTGCGGGATAAAAATCTGGAAAAGAGTAACCGATTCGAGAGGGACTCCTCTTGTATTATTCGACTGCGCATATTTTCCACGATGTGGTAGTTCTCCTGGAAATTCGGTAGCCAATGTTAGCTGGGATGGCTACTAGACATCTCTGTGGCAAAATATAAGGTTAGGTTTCAGGTACTCGATTTCCGAAGTTATAAGGCCAGAGAAACATAAGAGTGGAATGTTTCTTGCATAAATTTTGGTCACTAATTTTATCCTGGCCGAAAACACTCGTAGTTTGGTGTAAACATATCACCTATTAGTGAACGCCAAAATTCAAGTCGAACAAGTCATTACCTACCACGCTGGGCCGCAGCGAACGATTTTTGCAACCAAAAAATTACGAGATTATTGCGATTTTTTTATCGTGGATGAAAGTAAATAAATTAATAAAAATGTTTAAAACTTATTAAGGGCTAAAAGGGGACGAAAGCTATATATTCGTAAAATTGCTAATACATGAAATTTTGCAAACATCGACTCACAGCAATAATACTGGTGATCTTTCATTCCTTTTAAAACATGTTTTCATTCTGGTATTAAGGGTATGTGCTCATGGTATATGCATAACACTTCTATTAATTGGATTACTGTCTAAAGCAATAAAACTGTGGTTTATTGTAGAATTCCCAAAGAACGGCTTAATTAACTTACTCCCAACCTTTTCAAGCTTCTTCAGTACATGTGTGAGCATGGTCGCAACTACTATCTAAGAGATACATACACTGTTGATTCTATATAGATTATACTATCCCAAATAAATAATTTTTTAGAATTTTACTAGTTATCGCTAAGCGCACTCCGCGCGCATTTTTAAACAAATTTATTAAAATTATAAGCCAACTATTTTATTGTTTTTTTGATGTGAAACATCTATATTCGCGTTTGGTGTCAGGGGTAAACCCGTAAAAACCGAGCGTCCGTCCGTCCGTCCGTCCGTCCGAGCGAGCGCAACTTTAGTAGTAGAACTGCCTATACAGCGTCGGTTTGCGCTACGCGCTGTGATTGGCTGCCGCGCCAGCTACAGAACTGCTTTCTGCTGCTGCCCGCTGCCGAGATTCGACGCGCGTATGCCTGGCAACGTAACAGCATAAGCAACAGCAGTCGGCTCAGCTCACGGGATTGACTGCGTTGAGATATCTTTCTCTCTCTTGCTTATGCGTATCGCTAATTCATATAATACGTATGTGTTGTCTATGCATGTACGTCGCGAGACTATGCACTATCATGCACGTTGTCAAATCTGATACTTATTACTGCATGTATGTATACGTGTCTATGAGTGTGTGTCTTCTTAAGGGAAGTCGAAATTATCATGTTATATTAAGATACAACGAACGATAATAGCTCAATGCACTAATTTGATTAATAAAACAAATTGAAAATTGAAAAAATTAAAAAAAATCAGCTGTTTATGAACAGCTGCAAGATGTGAAACATCTTTATCAATTAATTAAAGAAAATTTGAGAATTTAAAAGTAATCGAACAAGTAAAAGTCGAAACAAAAAAAGAAGTAAAAATTAAAAACAAATTAAAACTCGAAAAATCAAGAAAAAATCAATTTAATACAAAAATCTAAAATCAAACAAGTAAAAAGTAAGAAAACAAAAAAACAAAAAACATGAATCAAAAAAACGAGAAAATCAAGAAAAAGAAAAGTCAGAAAATCCCAACACAAGCAACGATGTTTCACATCTGGTGTGCTAAAGCTCAAGAAACTACTCTGATTACTTAACTCAATGAGAGGGAACGATTTGAAGAGTAAGCACGCATTGACAATGCACCAGATGTGAAACATCGATGCTTGTGTTGGGATTTTCTGACTTTTCTTTTTCTTGATTTTCTCGTTTTTTTGATTCATGTTTTTTTTTTTCGTTTCTTACTTTTTACTTGTTTGATTTTAGATTTTTGTATTAAATTGATTTTTTCTTGATTTTTCGAGTTTTAATTTGTTTTTAATTTTTTACTTCTTTTTTTGTTTCGACTTTTACTTGTTCGATTACTTTTAAATTCTCAAATTTTCTCTAATTAATTGATAAAGATGTTTCACATCTTTTTTTCACGAGTCAATCATTAATGGAGGTACAACATTTTTTAAGTGAACATGATGACATACTCTTCGTTATAAATGATCTTCTTTAACAGGGGATTAATTGAAAAACAATAAAATACGTATCAAATGATTTTCAAAAGTCGACATTGCAGACCCAGTAGATGTTTTCAATCAGAAATGCGAGCTATTGCTGGATATGGTTTTATGATCCCATATCGAAACTTTTTAGCAACACGATGTTGCACCGCAGAGCAGTACAATGAAGTTCTATTTCCAGTTTATTAACCAGCAAGATGCCTCTTCCGAGCTCAATTCTGCATGACGCTACATTCGCATCCCATTGCGTAAAAATAATGAAAATCAAGTTCGGCTAAAGATGGCACTTTGCAAAAACAATTTAAAACTGTACATGCTAATATCGAAGTCAGCTCAAAAATCAAAATTTCAATCCAGTTTTCTGAATCTTCACTGAATATTTATCTAAAATGCTCTACAATAGCTACCTTAAAATCATTAAAATAAAGCTCGTTCATCATTAAAATCATTAAAATAAATAACATGTTCACGTAAAACTCTTTGTGATAAAACGCTAGGATTCACGTTGATCAACACTCATGGGAACGCAGATTGCTCGTTTTTGAAAAGAACAATCCAAATTATAAATTACTTTCCCTTGTCAATTTAGAAAAAAAATAATCTGCATTCACAACACTTTTAAGTGTAGTGTTCACGAATTACTCTTTTGAATCATATTAAGCACGGCCTCGAAAAGAATTTCTGGCGAACGTTTCTTGGGAATAGCTTTTTAAAAGTACCAATGTTAACTCTTTGGGGTTTAAAGCGTGTTCAGTTTTAAATTGTCTTCGTTGAATGCGAATTTTTTTATTTTCATTGTACGGATGGTCGAAGTAGAATCTTGCTAAATCAAGTCCTATTTTTCTTAATCCACAGTAGCATCATTTTGCTATGAGACATAGATATATTATATTTATAAATGATTTTACCAGCGGCCCGTAAGCAACTATTTTCCTTCGTCTGCGCAGAGAGGGAAATGCTATTATGGGACCACTGAATATGAAATATAGGCTGCTATATATCAAACAAAGGCCAATAACACGAATTAAAAAAAAAAAGAATATGAAATACCGTATGTAGTCTAAACCGCCAAAAAAGAAATCCCTTATGCACTTCTTTGGCGGCCTCAGCTTTGTCTCGACCTGGGGTTATGTACTATTTGATTTTTTATTCTGACTGATCAGGTTAACGAATTATTTATTAACAATTTTTTTAATCTGCTCTGTTCCGATTATATATTTCGATTTTGATTCGATATCGATATACATACTTCAATTCATAGAGACATTCAGCGCGCTTCGCGCGACTCATCATTCGATATTCGATTCGATATTCGATATTCGATAAGCTTCATGATTCGATAATCGCATCCTCAAATTTATTATTAGATTATATGGTTCTTTTTACTAAAATAGTGAATTAGTACTTTATAATACTCCAATCATTTAGATAGTGGTTGTGACCATGCTCGCACATGTACTAAGGACGTGTGAAAAATTTAAGAGTAAGTTCGTTGAGCGGTTCTCTGGGAATTCTACAATAAACTATATTTTAATTACTAAGAACAGTAATCACATTAATAAGAGGGGTACGCATACCCTAAGCACATACCTTTAATATAAAAAAAAAAGAAATGTATAACACAACATGGGAGTAAAAGTAAAGAATATCTCAGAGCACATGGAATTGTAACCCGAGGCAAAGCTAAGGGTGATATACGAATAAATCTCGTAAAATTTTAATATTTTAACACTAAAAACAATTTTTTTTAAAGAACACTCATGAAATTTTTTTTTGGGACTTGCAAGTGATTCGGAAGTCTGAAAAAAATAGTACTTATCAAATTTGGATGAGGGCCTTCGAGGATTTGAAAAAGTACATGTTGTAGCTGAAGTTGATAAACCATATTTTTAAGACAATATTTGCTCCTAAATTTGGTTTAAATGTTGATATTTTGACACACAAAAAAAGTACATAGCGTCATTTTTTCCAAAATGTCTAAAACTAAAATGGGCAATACAAATTGTGCCATTTGAAGTAAAACTGATGATGTGCAACGCAAAATTCGATTAAGGGGACACACCAGTGTTCAAACCTGAAATAATTAATAGGTGTACAATATTGCATCAATCAAGTTTCAACCCTATGTATTCTTCGATACATAGTTAGCGCAGGATTCGGAAGTGAGTTTTTTACGAATTTTTATGGTAGACTGCTTAAACTCTTTATAAAAGTATCATCTTCCACTTAATGTAACAGAATTTTGAAAAATATCTTAGAAACATTTGTATTTGTATTATACCATGAAATATAAGAATTTATATGGATATAATTTCAGTATTTTTTGATTTTTTGTACATTTATAGTCATACCAATTTTCTAATGATATTTTTCAAAATTCTGTTCCACTCAAGTGGAGGAGAATGCTTTTACCAAGAGTTTACTTTTAGCTGTCAACCATAAAAATAGGTTAAAAACTCATTTCAGAATCAAGCGGTAACTATGTATCGAAGCTTAAAACTTATTTTAGTGGTCTTCTCAGTTAAATTGATATGCTAGGGGTCCTGAGTGGTTTTTTGCATTCAAAATGAAGCAAAAGAACATGGATAATTTCTATATTTGTTGAAACTTGATTGATGCATTATTTTACACCTATTAATCATTTCAGGTTTTAACACTAGTGTGTCTCTTTAAAATGCATTCAAAATCAACAAACGGCGCGCGCATAGCCGATGTTTATATCGTATATAATGAAAAGCTTACCTCGAATACCTTGATACGGGTCGACGTCCACCACCCGCGCCACGCCGACTTCGACCAGTTGACATTTCTACCCTCACCCGTGTTCCACAACAGCGTCTGTAAAAAAAGTATTTAAAAATTAACCACAGGATTGCAACTCACAAAATTGTTATTAGACATTTTGAATCTTCCTTTTTTAATAAATTTTGAGAAAATTTCGTTTGGAATAGGAAATACCCATTATTTTGAACCTTTTCGAAACTTTATGGGTGTTTTTTCAAACGAACTAGATATTTTCAAAAAAAAGTTTTTGCTTACTTTACTTAAAAAAGTTAAGTAAAGTAAAACTCTTGTAAAAGACGATTATTTTTTTTTTGTTATCAGTTGAAATTGGAAAGTAGTCTAAGCAATAACGAAAAAAATGAGCCTACACAGAAGTATGTGTCATTAAATTTGACAATCTGAAGCATAATTGAACATTTGTTGAAGTGCCGTAATTCACTTTTGAACATTTTTTTATATTTTTATGATTAATTTTTTAATTTCTCATTACTTATTGATCATATTTTTTTTATTTTTCTATTTTTTATTACTTTTTTATCATTATTTTATTGTTATCATTCTTTATTATAATTTCGGATAAATTGATTCCAGAAGAGTTTATGGATCGGATTCGACCATGTCAAAGTCAGTGGTATGACAGCTGATGATTTGTTTACGATGGTAGGTTCTGTTATAGTAGGTGAGGCTGCACATTGGTATAAGACTACGAATAGTAGTCTGACCTCTTGGAAACGTTTTAAGTAAGGTAAACGTCCCCAATACTGGACACGACCGAATGCTGGACACCTTATCAGAAATATGCTGAAAATAAGATTATATGACCTTTTTCATGATTATATTAACCCATTAAGTCCCAAGAGGACGTTTTTTCAACACTTAATTCGGTCACTGTATTTTTGGTGAAAATGGGTTTAAAAAAATATGCGAGTAGCAGTAAGAGCGAGACGGCTATTGTACCATTCGAAAAGCCAAGATTATGATGGAAAGTGCTACAATTGTGGAAAAAAGACCATATAGAACGCAATTGTAAAATGTTACAGATGTCACCAGATTGGAAATTACGCAAATGATTGTTATTTTAAAAATCGTACGTCACAAAGGAACTGGATTGTTGAGTGCCAATATTGTGGAAAGAGGGATATTATAGTATAGTCACAAATAAAACATTATTTGTAATTCACGGTAGAAAGTGCTTGACTGACGGTTGTCAGTTTATTGTAGTAATCCTAAATAGCATTACAGTGAGAGTGGTTTTGCCGTCTGGTTGACGGTTGATGTGTGGAGTTTACTGATGAGTTGTCCGTTATGATAGTTGAAGAAGATCAGTAATTATATAAGTACATTGATTATCATGGTAAATTAGTGACTAGGTGATAGTGAATACGGAGTCTTCGACGCTGCTGTCCTGCGTGAGAGTTGGTGTGCCAGGTCTGCAGACTAGCCCACCTTCACTGTTGATGTTTGAATGTGTCAGTACGTGTTATTAAATCGTTTGATTTATACTATACGAGTGATTCGTTATTTCATGCGCTTTTATGCCGTTTTATACGCAGGTAACCCGAGATCCCGGAGAAGCCAAGCCCACCTTTGGATGCGACACGTATAGTCACATGATCGGGTCTGATCATAACGTGATGAAAAACCATGAGATTTCAAATTTTTTCTGTTTCGAAAATCAAAAAATAAAATTCTTTTTTCAAAATCACGTTTTTTTCTGATATGTTTATATTTTACATTACCCATAAATATATTTGAAATTCAATTAACCTGCAGATTACAAAATCAATTCAACTTAAGTTTAGGTTAACTGACTGCACCAACATGCTGCTTGATATACTCTAAGCGATATATCAAAACCAGTTTTAAAGAAATGCATGTTTTAAACGAATTGTGCTTCGTATTGACATTATGGAGCTCCTTGTCACTCCATGTAATTAAGTGCCTGTTTACAATATTAGACCGTCAGAAAATGACAGATTATATCGACCGTGCCTACGAAGACAATCACTCATGCGAATGCGGTCAAAAAAATCTCTCTTAGAAATCTCTTAAAAAAAACTGCAGTCAAGGACCGCATTTTCTTGACTACATCTTCGAAGAAGAGTTCTTTTTTCTCCGCAAGTTTTCAGGAGAGATTTTTTTGATCGCGCATCACTAGAACGGTGATAATCTTCGTAAACACGGTCGATATGTGATAATCATTTAATTTATGTCCTTAAAAAGTCTAAAAGTAACATTGGTAACAAGCATTAAAACGGAATATTATGTTGTATTAACAAAGCGATTTATTTAGAAGCCTTTTGTAACAAGTTTTAGAATTATTTGTTAACTTTTTAAATTATGACATTATTAAAATTAATGTCTAGCACTAATGAAGTCTATTATAAGAATATCTAGCTAAGCACAAGAACATCTTTAGGTGTAGAATCGTAGTTGTAGGGTCAAAATGTGAGAATTATATACGTGAGTTTTATACGAATTTTCTCACATATGTCATTGAAAAGGATGAAATTACGAAAATCATGAAAAATAACGGCATTTTGGATATAGCGTAATAGTTTTTTAATCCAAACATTGCTCTACTTTCGTAGAATCGAGAATTTAATATCTACTAGTGGTACTTATGCCATTATTTTTCATGAAATTGATGGATTTAATAATTTCATTCTTTCATTGCCAAAAGTGGAAAATCAATGTACAATAATGGATTTTCTTACATTTTAACCCGCTTAATCTACATTCAAAAATCCTATATGTCCTTATGCTTGGCTTGATACAGACTTAATTAGTGCTAAAAAATCGTTTTTAAAAGAGGCACAAATAAAAAAATAAGCACACGAGGCTAAAATGTGTCACGAAACGGATATATACTCAAGGAGAGGTTTTTATCTAGTAATCCAAAAATTATATGATTTTCACGATTTTTTTCTCACAGAATAAAAGAAGAACACCTGAAAAACCTTGATATGAATTATGAAGAGAAAACATTAACTTTATCTATGGTTTTAAAGCGATGGAAAATTTATGCCCAGAAGTGCCATTTTGGGCCTTAATGGGTTATATACATTCGAAGAAAGCCATAAAAAGTCCTCTTCCTGGACGGCAAGGTAACGCATCCAATTTTTGTCTAATATCAATCAAATCAAATAGAAACTCTTTATAACATAGAAGACATTTGTTGAATCCTGAACTAAAATCACTAAGAAATGAGAAAATTAGCAAAATGGCGGACTTAAAAAAAAAAGTTTTTTCGTACTATTTTTTACTTTAAAAAGTGCTGTAACAATAAAAATAATGTTTAAAAATCATATTTTAGTCTTAGAAACTACAAGTTTAATTATTATTATAATGAAAAAAATTCATATTCTATGTTAGTTTTTGAGATATATTGCCTCTCTTCTCAGAAAACATGGTGTCGGGAAAAACGTGTTTAATTTTGTCAACTGCTATTGAGCGCTGTACTCTGAAACCTGAATTTGATTGACTGAGAATTCGAACTTATATACGAAATTTTAGCAAGGGATACTGAAAAATTGATTTTTTGATCGAGCTTGATGTGAATCTCTTTTAAAAATTGATTGACATGCAGATACAGCGTAATATTCCGTTTTTTATTTTTTATCGATGTAACTTTCAGTATTTTCAATGGCATTAGTTAAAAGTCGCCACATATAATCTGTCACTATCTGCCAGTTTATGTATACAACATTTTCATTTCATTTTTAATTATGAGCCTATTCAAAAGATACGAGCAACTTTTTTGTAATTGTTACCTTATTTATTGATGTTTAAGGAGTTTTCGTGTTTGGTAAATGATTTTGATAACAAATTTGAGTTCCACATCAAATCTTATGATATTTATCATTGTTTTTATGTTTCTTTAGTCACCTAATAAAACAAAAATGATGTTTAGAAAATCAATATCCAATTTTAGATGTAAATTGTCTTTTGGTATTCACTGTTATAATTAACTGCACTTAAAATAATATGCTGAATGTTAATTTATCGAATTTTTACTATGCGCTACTCTACCGTGTTTCAGAAAGATATTGTAAATTGTTGTTCCGTGACTTTACTAGTTTAAAATTGATTATGATGGTAGATTTGTCTTTTACAATTTTATTAAAACTTTAAATGAATTATTCATGAACTATAAACTAAATTTTATTACAATGAGTACATAATGAAAAAATAAAATAGTTAAATATACGCACGTTCCATCCATTCCTCTTACGGCATCTTCAGCATCTCTTGGATCTTCAAATTCAACAAATGCAAAGCCGGGTGGGTTTCGAGCAACCCAAACATTCCTCAAAGGCCCATATTTACTAAATGAACTTTCTATTTCATGCTTGCTTGCACTGCTTCCTAAGTTCCCCACATAAACTTTGCAGGATAAATCCCATTCTCTATACCGTGATGACATATTGTCTGAAAAAATGCAATTTGAGTTTTTTCCGAATCACATTTATTTTATTATGAGAATAACTTTGAATCATTTGAACATTTGCCTTCAAAATGATCGTATTTTTTACTACGATTACGCATTCGGATCGGGTTAAAATTCTGGATTTGGTGGCATACAGGCCCGTACTAAAAGTTAGCCGCGTTGATTCATCCAGATTCAAGATGGCAACCACCAAAACAGCTGATTGTAGCCGAAAATTTAAAAAAAGCTTTGGTATTTTTTTACTTGGTAAAAATGGACTCTACGAAAAAATTGCATGGAACAAAAAGTGCATAGAATTGATAAAGAAACACGCGTGAATTTTTTTAAAATGGCCATATCCAAAATTATCCTAAATCATCCAAAAAAGTCTGAAAAATTTACGCGTGTTTCTTTATCTATTTTAAGCACTTTTTGTTCTACAACATTTTTTCGTCGTGTCCAATTTTACCAAGTAAAAAATTACTAAAGCTTTTTTCAAATTTTGTAATGAAAATCGAAAAAAAAAATACTTTTGAGTACTTTAAGACATGTATTATTAGCCCTCAGAGTCCCAAATTGAATGATCTATCGAGGGCTCCGCAGAAAATTGCCGAATTTTGGCACTTTTGAAGTTAGTCAGTCCTCTCTTTCCTCTCTTCCTCTCTTAAAATAATGATGGACCTGAAAATAAAGCCATTTTATACGGCCTCTGATTGGTCGACTAACTTTTGACTCGAATCGTAAACTGATGCTCACGAAGCGCCTTTGAAAGTTACTATATGAAAAAATGCTTAAGGAGGCTGTAGCGATGCACGATGGTTCTGTAATGGAACGCTATATATATGTGCAAAACTATCACTAGACTACTCAGCGCACAACGTTAACATGGCAGAACATAAGGGAAATGTGTTGGACTCTTAATATCTTTTAAAAATGGTTGGAAACACCGATTTATAATAATATCATTCGAAATCTAATGGAATTTCCTATAACATATATTAATTTATTTAACTTCTAAAGTGATTGGAGCTCACAAGTACTATAAATATATAAATATTGGTACACTAAAAACTGCCACTTCCCATTTGATTCAATGTTAAATGGCCAAAACTTTGAATTTCATTATTTCCCAACTTTGCATTGAAACCCCAAATTTTTTTTTTACCAAAAATCTTGTAATTTCATAAACTATTGTGACGTCGGGACTCTAGTTGTTAAATATTACCCGCGCACTTATCTTACTCTAACTGCACCAAAATCTGAGATATACTTTTAAGGTTTGATACAAGACTTTTATTATAAAGTTTGCACATATAAAATGGATATTATATTTCTCGTTACACTTTTAGTAATAATGTATCACGCGATTGGTTCAGCGACAGCTCAGTTACAAAAACTAGGATAAAACGTTAGCGCGTGAAGACCGCAAGATGTTAGTGCGTCTATCAAAGAGAGAGAGAGAGAGAGAGAGAGAGAGCTAGAGATTACAAAGATGCTCGCTATATATAACAATTGTTAAATCCCGAATTACAGTTGGGCGATACTGGACGAATATCCGAATTCGCGTAAGCTATCCCGTGACTAGCGCGTGGTATGATAACCCGTAAATTACATGATTTAATTACCCCTTTTTCAGCACATTCATTGTTTACATTACTATGTCTACAGAAACGTTACATCGAAAAACTCCTGGTCGAGAAGCAGCGGAACGAGACTCGATTTTTTGGATATGACACTATCATCGGTTAAAATTTCACATCGATCTGAAGTTTTTTTCATTTTCGCTACAGCCTCCTTAAGAATCATTCTATTGCAAGAAAGAAACAAAAAACAATATCGGAAAGAACCAAATCACTTATAATAAGACTTGAGACTCAAGAATAGTGGGATTAAGCCTGGTGTACCCTGTTTAAAAAAAATCGCTGGATTTCCAATTGGAAAATCTAGTAGGATTGGATTGGAAATCGAACTCGATTCGACTAGAAATCGAGCTGTATTTGACTAGAAATCTAGCTCGATTTTTTACTGGAAATCCAGCTCGATTTTCGATCTGAAATCCAGCTCGATTTTTAAACTGAAATCTAGCTTGATTTTTGACTAGAAATTTAGCTCGATTTTGGACTGGAAATCGATAGATTTCAGAGCAAAAATCAAACTAGATTTGAGGTAAAAAATCGAGCTGGATTTTCAAAACTCGAGCTAGATTTCAGATCAAAAATCGAGCTGGATTTCCAGTCAAAAATCGAGCTAGATTTCCAGTCAAATACAGCTCGATTTCTAGTCAAATCGAGTTCGATTTCCAGTCATATCCTGCTCGATTTTTCAACTGGAAATCCAGCGATTTTTTTTAAACAGGGTAGTTAGTAGAAATGACCAGTTAAATAAATGTCTCGTAATTTACATTGGTGACCTAAAGGGTAGTTTTAATATTATGTAGTTCTGCCTAATTACACAAAAATTTACATTGTGAGAGCATGCGTATCTTATGTACACTAAATATGTGTAAAACAATTCGTTTACCAGCAGAAAACGTAAACATAGCGAATAAGGGTCTCTGCCTATATGCTAGCTTGTATACTACTATTATTATTGACGCGTATGTTATTAGGCAATGTCACCGAATTATTTCCGCTTTTGGCCATCGGGAGGCAGCAGCGTCGCAACAAATGTCATACGCGTTACAGCCATAGTTTTGCGGACATTATTCTCGAAGAAGTGGTTCTATTTTCAAAATGGCAAGTGAATGTAAATACGCAAGTCTCAATATGATTAAATTAAAGAAATTATTAAAAGAGAAAGGTGCAAGATAGACAGGTAGAAAAACTGAGCTTGTTGACAGGTAGGTTATATAATACATGTTGTATTTAAATAAACACGAGGTTATAATAAACATTACTTTTTATACTAAAACGCTATACAGTGCATCCGATGATTTTTAAGATTTTATTTTCTACGGTTGAAACTCAAGCGTATAAAAAAAAGGTTATGATATCGCTGAGTAGCAGACTGAAACAGTCATGAAAACTAAACATCTGCGCATGACATTTGTTGCGACGCTGCTGCCTCCCTATGGCTAAAAGCGGAAATAATTCGGTGACATTGCCTAATACACGCAGGTGGCCCTCATTAGGCCATGTCGTTGGGAAACGAATTGTTTTACACATAGTGTACAATAATGGCTATCGTATGAACGTTCTGTTGCACATTGACTTATGGTAGCTGACAGAGTCCACGTTAAAATGCTTTACATCTTTTTAAGTGTAATTTTATCATTTTGAAGAGGTCAACATTAGATTGACAAAATATTGAATATTTCATCAATTATTGATTTTACAGTTCTATTCCACATATTACAATCATTTCTTATTATTCAACAAAAATACTTTGCTTTTTTGACAAATGATAGGTATGAATTATTTTTACTATACCCAGGTAAAAATATCACGCTAGATCTGACCTCAGATCTAGCGTGATATTTTCACCTGGGTAATTAATTATTGATCAGAACCAATCAAATGATGCTGTAATTTTCATTATAGTTGAAATGATGAATACTTTAACAGGGCAATAATATTAAGAATCTTATAATCATTATAATTACAATTAGAAATATTTTATAAAAATATTTCTTTACATGGTAGTATTTTCTAAAATGGCCAATGAAGAAGGAACTAGTGTTATATAATCAACACTATATACATTATGTACATTAAAACTGTAGCATATAAAACGAAGCTAAAAATATGATGAATTTGATGAATACATGGCTTTTTGAAAAACTGATGAGCCATATGATTTAAATTTATGCTGTCATTAACAGCTTGTTATTATTGGTTCCTTATTCAATTTTAATTAAGAATCAATTAATAATCTCTATTGATATAAAAATTGCCATAAAAAATTCGTTAAAATAATTAAGAATAAATAATGCACCTCTACAACTTTAGATGATTATATATGTAATTTCTCAGTTTTTGGGTTGAGGCATATGTGACAATATATCTCATGTAGGTTTCATTGATCTAAAAAAATACACACTAATAGCTTTTTGTTTTTATTATAACTTTAATTGTAATATTCCTGCATAATTTTAGAAATTTTTAATTCATCATAAAATTGTGAGAGGCTTTATTAAAGCAAATTGAACATGATTTATGAAATTATTACCTTGAGAAAATGTCAATTGTTATTAATATCTAATGAGCTTTCTCTCTACATTGAAAAATCATGCCCAATTGGATCTGAAATATAAAATCATTTATGTAAAATAAAACAACAATGTAATATTTTATATTTTTATTGTTATTGTTATTATATTAGCTGTGTATAAATGATAAGTATAATAAAATTAAAAGTAACCAATATGTATATTGATTATAGTGCTTAATTACTTTGTTGAGATTTATAAGAATATTAATCCTATATAAAGTTTGTTAATAGTTCATTCAAAAGACAAGTAAAATCAAATGAATTGAATAACAAGACTTTTTGGTTACTCTAATAAGTTTTTAATACTTCATGTCAACACTCTTGAAAAAGAGGAATTACATTTGAACTGAAACATAAACATACTACTGTTCGTAAAGAACAGTATATAATAATGATATTTAGTTCCTGTACTCTAAAAGCAAATTATTATCATTATTATTATTGTTATTATTAATATTATTATTGTTATTATTAATATTATTATTTTTATTATCAATATTTTAATGCATTGATCAATTTATTAATTTTAAAATCAAGGAGGCATGGTTGATACAATAGAGCACAAAAGCTTAGAATATTAATATAAAAACTTCAAAGTGATTCGATAAAGGAAACAAAATATAGCAAAAAATAAAATTGTATTTTACATAAGACTGTAATATAGAAAAAAATTGAAAATTTTACAGTATATATAACAATAAAGATTTTAGCAATTTATTTATTGCATTTCGAAAAATAATCTTGATGGTTATATCTTCAAGTATCAATAGCTCAGACACTTTTAAATGAAACCTTACAATTAATCAGAGGAATATTTGAAAACTGATATATATTTTTCGAGTTTTACTAACTTGTTGATTAGTCAAATATTTATTCAGTTATAATCAAAAATATGCATCAAAAACGTAAATGAAATGCTGTTGTGATGCTATAAAGTTTAACAACAAAACAATGATTGTATTATGATTCAACAAAAGTTATGATTAAAATCAACATTACCTTTCCATAAAAGACTTGATTCAGTTATAGTTTGTTAATTAAAATTTGATCATGTTCAATCAAATTGTATCAAAATATTGTATTTAAAGGAGGTAAATAAGTGCATGAAGCATTACTTACAAATTAGCTATCCATTTTTTTACTGAGAAAACACTCTAATTTATCAGTTAAAAGTAAAATTGATTACATCTAAATATTTATATTATTGATTAATGATCAAAATTAATTGATAGTAATGGACTATATATATATATATATTAGTATATAATTATTAAAATTGTATGAAATGGCGGTTGCACTAGTTGTTTTTTCCGACAATGCACATCATTTCATAAAGCATCCACGGCAATTAAATATTGGCATGCAAAAATAGATAGATGGCAAGGCAAATCTACGGAAAAGTCAAAACATACAGATAGCGTTACAATCGTTTGATAATATTATGACGATGTCACATTTGTCTTACATATACTCAACTGGCAGCTTCAGTGAAGCCTACCTTTACAATTAGTAAATTCGATACTTTTGATTTTCACGAAATTGTCGATTAGGCTACATTCGAATCTCTTTTTTATTAGTTAAGAGTAAAGATAAAAATAATGAAGATGTATAATCAATAATTTGAAATATGATCTTTTATTTATAAAAAAAAACCTCAAATATTAATTAACATTGAAAAACTTCAACAAAATATAAAATTAAAGATTAATAATAATTTCGCTAAAAACGTTTTCCATACATATGACGTGTTGAAATTGGTTTTGAAACGCTGAAAAAATGTAAAAAATTAAGAATTATTTTTTACAGGTGCGAGAAGGATTTTTTTAACAAAATCTGTTGCAGAATGAGTTTAATAAGATGAATTGTAAATTGTGTTACATGGTTAACTGAAAAAATAACCAATAATTTAATCCCAGTTTAAAAAGCTTGACTGCCCTTAAAAAATTTCCTATAGGATCTCGCGAAATTCCTACAGGAGTCCTATAGGATTCCAATAGGAATTTCGCGGGATCCTATTGGAAATTTTTATAAGGGTGGATTTTTACATTGCGATTAATTATCTACACAGATTTTATGGCACCCCAAAAGCATTTTGTGTATAAAAAAAATCGACATGGATGTTTGAAAAATATGCGTCGATAAATATTTACAACTTTCACATAAAATTTATGCAGTATCTCCGTATAATATATCGCCTAGGAATAGAAGGTATGAAAGAAATCACCATATTTTTTGGAGAGTCTTGAATTTTTTTTATTTAATCTCATTCGTGTTTAATTCTTTCCACATTTTTTCTTTAAAACTGACGCTTAAATAGGCCAAAGTAAATAGCAGGTGCTTCGGCCACTGAATCTTCTCTATTCTGATGTTCTCAACTATGATAAACGTTTCGCTTGGGGTGAAAATTAAAATATCACCGGATCTTAATCGTTATTTAAAAGAATTCATAAAATTGAAAGAAGTCACGCCAATTTATATGAATGGCAGCAAGATGCAAGGGCACCCCTAGCATTGGCTACACACGTTTTACTGTTTATGAGTGGACAAACATCGGACAGCTGGGAGCATGAGCCCAAACAGCTCAATTTTTACCGATGAGTGCTATACGCTATTATACGAAGATTGGACGGAGACATCGTTCATTATAGTCCCAGACTCTCTCTAAGTGTTCATTGCTGCAAGTAAAACAAGAACGAGAATTATTTAAGATTATAAGTGACTGTGGGTTGTGTGTGAGAGCACAAAACACCATGTCCAGGCATAAGGGCAGAGGTTGCTCAGTTAACATCTACAAACGCCTGTACTTGGAAAAATTAACCAAAATATTAATTGGGAGAACGAAAAGAAGCTTGTTGAACTTCTCCCTCGATTTGCCAATTTGTTCAGCGAATGGAAGGGCCCACTTCCAAATCTACGAGACATCTTCCAGCCCAAAGAAATCGACTGCTTGTTTTGGATTCTGTAAATGCCATGATTAAAAACCCGTCCTACCGCCTGCACAATCGTGAGAGAGTACGATTCGTTTATTTCGTGGCTCGCACCGGTTACAAGTACGAGCCCATAGTTGGTGTGGACGGCGAGCCTGCACTGTCGCACCACAGCAGTTCATCGTATAACTATAGAGAGAATCGTTTACGCGAGATGACTATACCTGGTTTCATGAACTTTTAAAAATATTGGGGATTAAACGATAGTCAGCGCCCTCTGTAAATTAAATGCGGCCGTCCCATAGGACCGCCTGTGACCAAGCTGAAACAGTTTACAGGCGGTTCTAAGGTTCTTATACGGTGACGTGATTTACACTGACGAGCTGGGCGTGACGCACTTTCACTTGGCCTGCAGGTATGGCTGTGAGGACATCGTCAAGAAGTTTCTCAAGCTTGGTCAGGATCCCAACTGCCTTTTACCAGAAGTAGATATTTTGCCACTGCACTTGGCTTTGATGTACGGTAGAAAAGAAGTGGCCAAATTACTGCTAAGAAACGCAGCGATCCAAATTTAACCGATGCAAGAAAATGCGGACACCTCTGCACTTTATCTGCAACAGATACGACGGTGGTGTTGACGTGATGACATCCAGCAGACGGTGCACGTCAACGCCCGGGACGAGTTTGGCAACACACCATTGCACTTAACTCTGCGTCACGGCAAAATGGCCGAATTCTAAAACGAGGTGTCGATCCGAATTTGGCCAATGCAGATAGTTTGACTCCTCTGCACATTATTTGCAAGGAAAACGACGACGATAATTTTGTGAAGCTATTCTTCAAGACCTGCGACGACAACCAGCAGAAGGTGCAGGTCGACGCTCTAGACAATTTAAGTCGAACAGCGCTAGATGTGGCTTTATCTTGTCGCCGCAGAAGCTTGGTTCGATTCTTACTAAGAAATGGCGTGAATCCGAATTTGGCCAATGTAGAGGGATTGACAACTTTACACAAAATTTGCATGGAAAGTGACGATCACGGCTTGATGGAAATGTTCTTTAAGATAATCGACGACATTCAGATATCGGTGCAGCTCGACACCCGAGGCATTTTGGGCAACACACCGCTGTTATTAGCTCTGTCTCGTGGCCACAAAACTTGGTTCTTAGACGGATTCGCAAATGTACTTCCAATATATTTTTGCCCACTGATTACGAATAACAAATGTTGAAATGAACGTAAAAATTGAAAACTATTATCGAGAACAGACCCCATAAATTTCATAAGAATCTCGGGATCGTGAGAATTTCGCTGAACACAAAGATCATCAATTTCGAAAAAAATAGAGAGGAAATAAAAAATCTTGTAACTAACCTTAAAGTATTTATGAAAAATTGAATTTATTATTTTTTAAAATTCAATGAAAAAGAAAATTTTAAAAATTAAATTTAAAATATCAAGTTGGCTGTCAACAGACCGCCATCAGAAGTTAAACTTCTTGAAAATTAATTTTTTATATGTTTATTGTAATTCTTTTGTACTTTATTAATTTTAATGCATCTGTGAGCTGCCATTTGTTAATTGATAACAGTAATTTTCCGACACTGCGCACAACTTCAATGCTCCAATTCGTAAAGAGTTTGAAGAGTATGGACGGAGGATGTGTCTTTAGAGCATGACTTGGCGACGTAGGTACTAGGTTCGAACCATGCGACCGGTACATGGGCTTAACAATAACTATTGCTGCAAGTGTGCACTTTTCTTGACAACATGCCATTATTATCACGAAAACTGGAGAAAATTATCATTAATAATTAAAGACATTCGAACTAAAAAATCTTCGCATCATTAAAAACATTTGAACTAACAAAACTTCTGGTCACGACAAAACCACTCGAAGGATGCTCAAGAAGTTACCATTACAACAAAGACACTCCACATGAAGAGTGACATGCTTATGTGTTAAATTAAATGGAAACGGGTAACCCTTTGTGGAGAGCATCGATTATTATCAATGTGTGTCTTCGAATGTTACAATTCCAGCTCAGTGGAAAGTACAAATAATTTTAATTAAAAAGACAGGAAAAGCTGCTGACAACGTTTCATCCAATAGACCAATCAGTCCACTACCAGTACTGTTAAAAATCTCAGAAAAAATTATTTTACTCATAATGAAGAAAAAAATTTTTTTTGTATTTTAAGTTAAATTTACGATAAAATTATGAAAATTCTGGTAAGATACGTAACGTATAACACGATTATCTGATACGAAATTCAAAATGAGATCATTAGTTTCTTTATAGGTACACCCGCGGAGTTAGATACTCGGACCTCGAAAATTTGAGATCATTTAGTCGCTTCCTTCACCGTGTAATGTACGTCGTGAAACTGTAGTCACGCGCTGTTGTTAATAAATAGCGAATTCGCGGGTGTACTGACATCGAGTTTTTTTATTTGTGTGCATATTTTGATTTAGGATTGGCTAAATAGTTTTTGAGTTACGTTTCTAACTGATTTGAATTATTGTCAATTTAAGAAATCGATGTTCAGAGACATATAATTAGCATTTCGGGATATTAACAAAAATATTATCAATGATATCATTTATCAAAATATATTATTATAAGTTTCATTTATAATGTATATAATTAAATGTTCTTATTTTTCTTAAGATAAAAATAATTTATCAATTTTTGATTCCATAAATTAATTAATAATGTTCACTGTTACGTAAAAAATAAAATGCTTATAGACATCAAAATGCAGAATCCAGCAACATATTGACTTTTCCTTTCTCCAATTCGAGAACATTTCCAAAATATTCCAGGAAGTCTGAAAAAAGTATAACCATAAATTTCATTTTTATTGATAAAAGTCTAAGTTAATTAAAATGTTATGAATACAGACATTTTTAAATGTAATAACTATCTAAATCAAAAGTAATGACTCGATATTACAGCTTGTACTAAAAGTTTCCTTGCTCCTTTAAAATTCGAGAAAAATAGTACAAGGCATTTAATCTTGAATCTTCACGAAGGTGAAGTTCGTAGCTTATACTTCGAAGTGTCTATTCAGGGTAATCCTTGCTGAAAAAAATCATGGGAAAAATCATATAATGTTTTGGCATGAATAATCATATGTTTTTTTATAATATTTATCATATGATTTTTCCCAGCAAAGAGGCAAACCCATATTTCTATATAAAAACCATTAGAAGGAAGTGCCAAAATATAATTTAAAGCCTGAATTTATAAATGTCATTGAAAATGAAGAAACTACTTTTGAAAATAACTTTTATAACACTGCGTGGCATAAGTTCACATTTATGGCACGCTTTTCTGTGGCATAAGTCGCACATTCTGGCACCGCTGCGTTCGCATCGCACTCGCATACGCTCGTGCGCTAACCTCACTTTGCGATACCAGTAAGTGCGACTTATGCATCGGAAAAGGGGGCATAAATGTGAACTTGGCACAGTGCTATAAAATGTTGTACGATACTCGTTACATAGGGGACACTTTTCGGCCCAGCTATTAGGACCAGCGTTGGTTTGAAGCAAACTCTACGCTTGCACTCTATGGCGAAAAGTACTGGTGGCGCCGGACGTCAGAGTTCCGAAACTTACGTCTGGCGATCCCCGTTCATAATGCGCGAAAGTAATTTTAAAATTTCTTGTTATAATTGTGTTGTAAAATGGGCCCTTTTATGTTACACATGTTTAATAAGCATGTTTAACATTAAAGGGCTCATTTTACAACACAATTATATCAAGAAATTTTAAAATTACTTTCGCGCATTATGAACGGGGATCGCCAGACGTAAGTTTCGGAATTCTGACGTCCGGCGCCACCAGTACTTTTCGCCATAGAGTGCGAGCGTAGAGTTTGCCTCAAACCAACGCTGATTAGGACCCTCGCTGCGCTCGGGCCCTAAACTACACCGTGCCCAAAAGTGTTACTTATACCACTAGTATCGTAAAGTACTAAAAAAATGTACATTTAGAGCACAAAAATTTGAATAATTTAAAAGAGTTTGAGGTGAATTATAAAACTGCCGAACTGTTGAATCATCAAACTGCCTGAATTTGAACCGTTTTTTAAAAGATTAGCATCGATATTTTCTTGATGATTAGATAGCATAGTTATAAATGAATTTCCATGCCTATTACTTTTATAATTCACTTCAAACTCTTTTAAATTATTCAAATTGTTGTGCTCTAAATGTACATTTTTTAAAGATATTTTCAAAAGTAGTTTCTTCATTTTCAATGACATTAATAAATTGAGACTTTAAATTATATTTTGGCACTTCCTTCTAATGGTTTTTATATTAAAATGAGGGTTTGCTTCCCTTGTTGGGAAAAATCATTTGATAAATCATATAAAAATCGCCGAAAAATAAACCTAATTTTTTATAATTGAGTATTTTTTTATTTTTTTGACCTTTTTAGGCTTTTGACCTTTTTGGTGTTTGACCTTCCAGGGGTTTGAACTTTGCGGTCTGACCTTTTTTTTTTAATTTTTTTGTACCGGAATCAAAAAATCATATGATTAATCATGCCAAAACATTATATGATTTTTCCCATGATTTTTTTTAGCAGGGAATTTTCTCTTGAATAACCAAACTCGCAATACTTTTCAACTTTATCTTGATTAAAGAGGCTCTGTCGGTAATCTCAATCATGGAAGAACCTAATGTTATTTATATTAAATGTTTTTTATTCTCTAAAGCCTTACAATTAAGAAAAAAGATGGATACGGGTTGACGATCAAATTGTCAAGAAAAGTGCCATTGAAAATATTTCTTTTAACATACAATCATACATAAAAAATCGGAGCTTTGACATTACCTTAAAATACTCTCAATAGTAAGAATGCGACAGGAACAAAACATTATTCAGTACTAATTGATACCCTTATAAAAATTTCCAATAGGATCCCGCGAAATTCCTATTGGAATCCTATAGGACTCCTGTAGGAATTTCGCGAGATCCTATAGGAAATTTTTATAAGGGATACCATTCAAAGGGTTCTGGCATTATCTCTCTGGAATATTCTTTTGTCAAAAGTTATAAAACCTAATTATTTTTCTGATTTCATCATTATTATAATATATAGATTTTATGATGAATAGTTAAAATTTTCAATGGACATAGGGTTTTATAAGCCTGTAACCATATTTGAACTAGTTGCCCCCGCCCCCCTCCCCCTACCTCCCCTAAAAAGACTAATAAAATTTGATTGAAATGTTGTGTATCATTGGTACGAGAGTGAAAAATGCATATTTTAAACATTAAATACAAATAGTCTTACCCCTCTTTTTTTTTATCCAACATAGCTGGAAATAAAGATCTGACATAAACACTTGTACAAATCGTCAGGAGAATGATCGTCAATAAACTTTGAAAGTTGAATAAAGCAATCTGTAATTTAAAAACTTATTAAATAAATGATAATATAAATTTTATCAATCATAAGTTCTTTGAAATTTTGATGTTTCCATCTATTTAAGATGCCAAAACTGTAAATAACCAAAAGCTTCTTTATAGTAGACTTGTATTCTTTAAAGTTCAACAAAACATGTTCAATTATGTTTATTTATAATACAGATTATGGCATGTCTTAGCATATTTATAAATTAGCAAGTAGACTCACCATTTTATTGATGTTCAGATGAGAAACAATTATAATAGATATTTCAGATTCTAGTTTAATTTATTCAGCTCCTTTTAATTCCTGAAATATATAGATTTATAAACTTTAATAAACCTATTATATGATTAAAAATACATACATCTGAAAGTTTTATATCAACTTTGTAATAGATTGTTAATAACTGGAATGTGAAAAAAAGTTTTAATTTGATTTCTTTGAATTTCTACCTTCTATAAATTCTCAAGTCTTTTCTGTCATCGAATAAGTATTATATCAATTCAATTGTATTGATGAATGAAATTATTAAAAATTCTGTAATACATATTCTATAGAAATTTTATAGCATTTTTACGTTTATGCAACTTCTTACACAGAAATATATATTTTTTGAGTATCAACTTAATTCAAGTAATAATAACTTTAAAGTAAACCTTAATTTTTAATTGAATTTTAATTTAAAATATTAATAAGGTAATCGATTATAAGATGTTCCATTAGAAACTATATTAACTTGCAATAAACTCAACTCATTGGATTAAAGAACATACTGTATTTGTAACTCTTTTACTTACTTGCTAGTAGATTAACTGTACATGTATATGTATATACACATGGAAAACTATCAATTACAAATGTTTTAAATGAAAAATAGTCCCAGATAAACCAGAATTATAAATTATAGCCGATTTAGGATAATATTTACTACGAACAAAATCATAAAACGACTGGGTAATGCATGCATTTGTGTCTGACTAGCATCAATAAAAATGTTCGGAGTTACTGTATTGCCATAACAATATGGGTTTATACGCCTCACATTTCACACTTGTTTATTTTTGTATGAAAAACTTACACTAGGTTGACTTCAATTCTGTCCGGTGCAAGTGGAACAAAGCGGTGGAACATGTATAAGCATAGGAAATTTCGGCGTTCCACTAGATAGAACTCAGTTAAAAATTAACCTTATCGGAATAATAATTTTCAAAATACAATAAGCTCAACTAATGTTTCAAGAATTACATATTAATAAAATCAATCATCACTTTGATGGCTTATTTCTATAATAAATGAAAATGAATCCTATTCAAATAATTGACCGGAATTATGTGCACATAACATTTAAACTAGACGATACAAGTTATATTATAATAAGGAATACTGAAAGCGAAACATGAACAAAAAGACGTGCATATGATCCCTAGGGCATAAAAAAACTAAAATTTAATTAGAGATAATTTTTATGTAAAATTGAAATGCTTCAGTCCCATAAACCTATAGACATGAACGTTTTCTTTCTTCAACAATTGTAATAAATACATTTCAGCCAATAATAACTTTTCATTGAAAACAGTAGTGCCGTACATACTTAGTCGATACTACGTAGCAGCTCGGGGTCGCTCGATCTCCCTAGCGCAGATATATCATTTTAAACTAAAAGACAAAAACGCTGTACCGTAGTTCTATGTTAATTTTTAGGATACCGTAGAGCCTATTTTCTCACGAGTTTATATGAACCCTTATAAAAATTTCCAATAGGATCCCGCGAAATTCCTATTGGAATCCTATAGGACTCCTGTAGGAATTTCGCGAGATCCTATAGGAAATTTTTATAAGGGAAAAACTCTAACGCAGGGAGACTCATAGACACATATAATTCGTTCGATTGAACAGTCCATTTATTACGTAACTTAGGCCTTATTTTAATGTGAAAATTTCCTGTACAGAATCCAGCAAAAAAGCGCGAAGTTCTTGTAGGAGTCCTATACAAAATTTGCACGAGTCTCAGTTTGTCAATGACAATGAGACGAGGGCGAGAAGCCCCACGCGCACGAGTACTATTTTTTATAACGAGTTGCGGGAAGTTTTTATTTCCCGCACACTGTGAAAAAAATCGACGTTGTAACGAAAATTAGTGTACGCAACTGAGGTGGTTGTCCATCTTGTCAAGTTTGCAAACCGAGCGTAGCGAGAGTTGCATTGACACGAGTCTTTCGACCCGTTGCGTAATATACTATTTAAGATCGCCATCCGTGCGCCAAAGTAGCACTTTCCGCACGCAGTGATGAAATAGTTATTTATGCAACAAGTGCCCAAAAGGCGTTTTTGGGCACGAGTGGGTATTTTTCCGCACACTGTGCGCAAAAAGCTGGGCACGTGTTGCATACAAAATTTTATGCAATAGTAGGCGAAAAATACGTTCATTTAAATGAGGCGTTTTACCGCACACCAGTGCCCAAAATGAGGCATTTTACCGCACACCAGTGTCGAAACGAGGCATTTTACGGCACACAAGTGTCCAAAAACGCTTTTTGCGTACTAAAAAATGTGCGAAAATAGTATATTTATGGCACGCTAACCTAAAAATCGCAACTTTGCCGCTACTTTTAGGCTTTTGTACCATAAAATATTGTATGCAACTGATACGGATATGCTTTTCCAACGAAACTCGTTACAGCCCTCGCCTTCGGCTCGTGCTGCAACCCCTCGTTTCGCTGAAAAAGTATATCCGTACCCGTTGCATAAAAGACATTTTTCGTCATACTATTGCATAAAAATTATTATAAAATCGAGGAGCGCGCGTCGTGCTCCCTCTGGTAAGTATGGCATGAATTGTGGCAAGTGACGACACGCGCTCATATACAGCGGAGAAATTCCCGCCAGTTTTCTTTTCGCTCTTATTCGAATTTGATAAAAGATATCGAAATTCTGATAAGACTATCAATTCCTTTGAAATCGAACAATTTCTTCCGAAATTTTAATAACAAGAAATGACCCTGAGTTGAAACCCAGCGTTTTTCTAAAAATATTTTTATATCTAAATGGAATGGCTTCAAGAAAGAATTATATTTTCACAATTTTTGAGACCTTCAATTATTTCTATTGGAAGTACGAGGGTTGCCTTTTTTAGTTGCAAAGTTTTTTAAAAATGCGATGAATGGTTTTAAAATTTTTTGAAAAAATACACGTTATTCTTGACAATGTTTTTTGTTTTTTTCATTTTCTCCTTATTATTATTCTGTTTCAAAACGAAATTTTCAGTATTTTTCAATTGAAAAAAAAAAAAAATGTAAATAATTTTATTGAATTCAACTTTTTATCAAAGTATGTGTTCAGCTTCAAAAAATTTGTAATATTTTGAATTTTCCCAAATAGTGAAATACTAATTATAACATCTAGAAACCCATATACGTTACACGGTACAGGAGAATTTTTTTCTAGATCAATTGAAAATTAATTTCACATGATAATTGAAAATGTTACTATTACAATACAAAATATTCGAAAATTAATTTTCATTTTTTTAATGTGAAGTAAAACCAATATTTTTTTTTATTGATCTTTATGAGAAATTCATTGCCTGGCGGCTGGCCTCCATTTCTAGCTATGAAATTTTACCGCTAGAGCGGTTAGTGTACGGCTTTCTTTATTTCGACTTGTGCCTGTATTTCAGGAAGTCTTATTCGTACATGTTGCTTGACTTTTACAAATTTATTAACTGAATATTTCAAGTGTGCGTGAATTTAAAATTAAGACTGCTTAAAACTTTTATAAGCGGTGTTTATTGATAAAGAGTCGAATGCACTGATATTATTGAAAACTGTTTGAGATAAATATTGATCAAGTACGAAAAGCAGCTTCTAAGCCTTTTTATTAGCTTAGTGTAATTAATAAGTTTCATGCTTTTTTTTCTAAAAAGAAGAATATTCATTTCCTTCAGCTGAGTTTATTACTTTTATCCAATGGATTCTACAACAGTGCAGTTAATACAAGTCCTTGAAAAAACAGTTTCACCAGGTAAGTCAATTAAATGTCATAAGAAATCATTGTCATTTATAACTTTTCACACTTCCCTCCAAAGTATTTAATTAATTGAAAATTATTTTTTTATAAATAAATATGAATAAAAAACATCTGTACCACAACAAGTTCTTTGTTGAAAGTACGTGTACTACCAAGATTTTGTTTGTATAACCTCTTTAGCGGAATTGAAGATTTTGAGTTATATGAATATGAATAAGATTATTTTAGTAAATTTTAACCATCATAATCCAAATTCATGGTATAAATATTGAGTAGTGTAGTATAAGACTGACAGACAGTTATTGCTCTGTATACTCTGATCAAATTATTATCAATAATTTTAACTAATATTACCTATGGTTTAGAATATAAGAAATAATAGAATAATATTGCACACTGCAATTTTCATTTTAAAAAACTCTTCTACATGCATTAGCACATATCAAATGATGTTACTCAATGATCATAAATAAGGAAATTTTCTAATTTAATAGGAGAAGTAAACATGCGTTTGTTGAATTTTTGAAGCGTTAAGCTTTTTTTCTTTTTTGTCATAGTAGTAGTTTTTGTCAAAGTATTTTCAAATTCATTGCTTGGTTTTACCAATATTTCAGTTTTTATTTATATGCCAATATTTACATGACAAAAATATAAAAACATGATTTTAATTTTATTGAACACAAAAAACTTGATATTTTGTAAAGTTCTTGTTGAAGTTATTAATTTGAATTGAAAACTTATATTCTACAAATTTCACTCAAAATGTTTTCAAGGAATGAATCAACAACAATCAAGTTCTGAAACTCCGGCATACCCATGTGTACATGCACACATAGACACATTTATTCTAGTCAATATAAACATTGCTATTAATATTATTTAATAGATTAGCTAGTACTATTTTAATTCATCATTTGCTTATTTAATTCAACTGTTTTTGCTTGAATTTGAGAATTTTCTTTGATGTAAATGTTGAGTTTGAATAGCATTTTAAATTTGCATAATTACAAATTGAAAGTATGTTATTTTTGCACTTATTGAAAGGAATTTGGTTTTTATTTTATACAATATTTTTTCAATATAATAAAATGTTTCACCAAAAATTATAGAAGTTACATCTTAAAATTCTTACATTTGTAATCATTAATGCAACAAGTGGTTTTTCTTTCATTCTGTAATCAAATGTTTTTCATTGAACAATGAATAAATATTTTTAAAGGTTTTTATCAAATTTTTAGTGAAGTGTTCCAATGTATAGTTTATTTTTTCTAATTGATTTTTTTGGCAATATAAATTTGCATTAATATCTCAGCTAAGCTAATATAATTCAGGCTAAGGTCTAAGACACTGTTACACTACAAATTAAAATTAGATTGAAAAATAAGTATTCAAAATGGTTTTTGTAAATTAATAACAAAAATAATGTAAATGAAATATTTTTATCACCAATTTATTGAATTGATGAATCATATAAAACATTTTTGTAACACTTAATATTGCCTACTTTTTTTGCAAAGAGTAATTAGTATAGATTTATAATATTGTAATAATGTTGAGAAAAAACTATTATCCCAAATCTAAAAAGTCTTTCAAAAATTCTGAAAAAATTTTTAAGTATTCTCTAATTGACACCAAGACTTTTTTCTACAAATGTTTTTCCAAAGTCAATCTTATTTGTATATTACAAACATAAAAATGAAAAAACTTTCTAGAAAAATACAATTTAAAAATAATATGATGAGAAATAAAATGCATGGAACAAAAATTTCTTAGAATTAGTTGAAGAATACAAGTGAATTTTTGTAGAATTTTTGTAGAATTTTCAGAGATTTTTTTCGAATTGTGAACTTTTTGGAAATAGGCAGGGTTCATTTACTACTATTCAGAGTTGTAGCAACGATTTTCTTCTTCTATAGTCCTAAGCTAAAATTTCTAGGGGTTTCGGTGAAGATCTGCGTAGTTTAAGAAATATAGAAGTTAATTAACATGTAGTGTCGTTTCATTCGGTAACCAATGACAAGTGTGGATTCCTAGTAGAGGCTATGTTTATGCCAGACTATAGTAACTATTAATCACTGATAGTCACGATAATTATAAAAATTTTTATTCTCGGCTACGAAAATGAGATTCTAACCGACTAAATTCTTTAAATCCTAATGTATACTTGAGTGACTCCAAATCGGTAACAATCTACAAATGTAATTATCGCGAATAGAGGGTTGCCTTTTCATTGAGCATGCGTGAAAATAATAATAATAGTTTGTTTATAGCTTTTCAGAAGTTAATCTACTTCACTGGATTTATCTTTTATACTTGTTACTGTATTAGAATCATTCAGGTATACATGAGCGCATAAATTAGTATGATCCAAAATGGTTTTTACGCATACGTAGCTTTCGGTAAAAATCAGTTTCATCACTGTGTGCGGAAAGCGCTACCTCCGCGCACGGCTGGCGATCCTAACATCGACTTTCCGCACATAGTTCCGCACTACTATTTCAAATATACTATTTGAAAATCAAACACTTGTCATGAACAAAGGGATATTTTTTGCAAAAGAATAATTTTTCGCTGTAGTATATGTAAGTATCGTAAAATAGATAATGTACAATGTAAATAAAATTAATGTTAATCAATTTTATCAGTTAATGCAATTAAAAAACTAATTTTAATTTCATTATACACGCCATTATTACATAAAACAGATATTTTGTGCCGATTTTCATCTTTTGAGTTTACACTGATGCGAAAGTCAAATATAAATGTATGGAATCGTATCGATTTTTAATTTTAGGTGCGTGACAAGGACAAGTTGGATAATTTATTAAATATAGTCATTACAGTTTTAAAGCTCTTATATAAAATGTAGTATATTATATCAATGTAGAAAACCAACTTTTGTATAAATGACTTTTATGCAATAGTATGACGAAAAATGTCTTTTTTCGCACATTTTTTAGTGCGCAAAAAGCGTTTTTGGATACGGGTGTGCAGTAAAACGCCTCATTTAAATGAACGTATTTTTCGCCTACTATTGCATAATAGTTATTTATGTAACAAGTGCCCAAAAGGCGTTTTTGGGCACGAGTGTGCGGAAAAAGACACGAGTGCCGGCTATGCCAGCACGAGTGGGTGTTTTTTCCGCGCACTGTGCGCAAAAAGCTGGGCACGTGTTGCATACAAAATTTTATCCAATAGTAGGCGAAAAATACGTTCGTTTAAATGAGGCGTTTTACCGCACACCCGTGTCCAAAATGAGGCATTTTACCGCACACAAGTGGTTAAAAACGCCTTTTGCACACTAAAAAATGTGCGAAAAAAGACATTTTTCGTCACACTATTGCATAAAATTTTGTATGCAACACGTGCCCAGCTTTTTGCGCACAGTGTGCGGAAAAAACACCCACTCGTGCCGGCATAGGCGGCACTCGTGTCTTTTTCGTGTCAAAAACGCCTTTTGGGCACTTGTTACATAAATAACTATTTTTACCATAATCCCGCATACACTATACTAATCGTTAGTAGGGTTGATTTATCCAAATTCAAGATGTCAAGATAGCCGAAAATTGTAAAAAACAAAAGATTTGATTCTTTTTTACTCGCCAAAAAAAGTACTCAAAACTAGTCAAATAATCCATGTGAATTATTTCAGAATTTTTGGAGTGATTTTTTAATATGGCCATTTTTTGATATTTTGAATTGCAATAGTTTTATATAATACGTGTGACTTGAGCAGCCCATTATTACACGACGCGACAAGGTGCAATAATGAACAGCTTACATCATTAGTTTATGGCAAAGGGAGCCTTAAACGTGAACTTAGACCACGCAGTGTCCAAAAGACGATTTTCGACCCACCAGTATAACGATCGAAATTTGCGTTCTATTCGCTTTTTTGTCCTAAATAATAGTTATCCACGACAATCAATGATCAAACCGTAGACCCACGTATCTGAGCTGACCCAGTCTTGGAAAGTGATTTTCGTATAAAGCTCCTCGGAAGTACGTTTCCTTTCTCCGTATTAGCGACATATCTGCTTACTTATTATTGTTCACCTTAATCTGACAATTTTAGGTTTTTTTTTAGATAATTTCAAATCTTCTGTTTACGGAATCCAGAAATTCTTAAACAAGTTTTCTATAACTTCGACTGAAAATTTCTCTAAAAGTCTTTAGATGAACCTTCTTTTAAATATTTTTAAGGACCCCACAGAGCCTTTTTACAAAATATTCAGAAGTTGTTTCAGTAAATTTGTCTGAAAATTTGAATTTTTGGCCGGCGTGCGAATCACATCAAGTTAATAGAGCTTCTGGATGTTCAACTGACAGAGAAGTACCATTCGCATAAGAGTTCGTAAAAATGATACGGGTGAGGGAAGATCATTTGTGTGTTACAGGCACAACAGGAACATAAATATTTTTGACTGTTTTCCCATAAAAAAAAGCTTCCAATACTTAAAAATAATTAAAAGTATATTTTCAAGAGATTCGAATTAAAAATTTTGTGTCAAGTTTTTCCGGGAAAAATCGAAAATTTTCAAAAATATGACCTCATCATCGAAAAGCTAGGGTAATTTTTTATGGAAATTGAATGTAAATTTTTTCAGAGAGTGTTAAAGGATTTTCCTTGTGAGTCAGAAATTGTGCAACTTCTCTTAATAATGCCGCGTGGGTGCTGAGCTGAAGATTTCCATACCTCCTAGTATCAAGACGCTACTTTACAGAACAGTAGCATCTTGTCAATTTAATTTTCATTTGGCACAATGCTAATTCGGTGCTAGGTTCAGCAAGATGTTATTACGGCGTTTTATTCTGCAAGATGTTACTTCCGCGCCACGTGTAATAAAAAAAATGAAAAATTGTAGTTCAGCTGCATCTACATTGCTTTAACTAAGACAATTTAAAACCTTACATGCTTTCAACCTTACACTGTAAACCCAAAAGAGTAATTTTCCAACCTGAAAAGAGTAAACTGCGTCATTTACTCTTTTTAAAAGAGTAAATAGCGCAGATTACCCTTTTAAGTTCTAGCGTTAACGTAAAAGGAAAGAACTCTTTTAAAAAGAGTAAATGACGCAGTTTACTCTTGTGAGGTTCGAAAATAACTCTTTTGGGATTAAAATTCGCCCTAGTAAAGAGTTGTAAATGTTATCATAAAACTTTAAACTACTAAAGGAGTAATTTGTACACTTTTCACTCTTTCAAAATGTTACTAATGCAGATTTCTCTTTTAAAAAGAGTAATCTGCGTTCTCAACTATAATCCTGGCGCTTCAATGACACGAGTTTTATACGAACATTACTCTACAGATACGAATTAATTTCGTCGAAGTTGAAAGCGTAAACGGTTTTAAGTATTTTCGCTAATTGTAATCCATAATCGTGTTATGATTTAACTTTTTTTATTATTCAGGGCGCTAAAATCGCATCTTGCTGAACCGAGTGCTGAAGTGGTATCTTGCCAAGCTTAGTGCCAAAGTAGCATCTTTCTCAACAGCGCGTTGAAATAGCATTGTGCTGAATGAAAATTAAACCGGTACGATGTTGCTCTGTTTTGTGAAGTATCGTCTTATTGCTAGGAAACATCGACTTAACGTGAAATAGCTCATATGTCGTGACGCGAAATTTTGCGCTTTACACGAGGAGAACATGTCGTCATGTAGTCCCTGTCATACTCGCCAGATAGAGCGCAATACGTGCTCATCGAATAGCATGAAACAGTTACCACAGTTTATGAAAATGTTTAAACGATACATCTTCTCAATACTCGAAAATGTTTAATTAGAAAAAGGTTGAAAAAAACTAAGAAAATCCGTCTTACGTGTACTTTGCCTCTTTAAATAATTTAATGTTCATTATGCTACTCTAGAAAAAAATGAACATAAACTTTAGAGGATGGAAAGTTTTCAGTTACTTTCTACCTTTAATTTTCACAATAATTTTTAACTTACTGAATATTATTATACACCAATCACGTCAAAAGCGTTCCGCTCTGAAGTATACATCTTTGTCTTCATGACTTGCTCACACCTCTTGAAGGGGAACCAATTAAATGCGCAACTTATAGTTAATAGACTGCAAGCTCATAAATTCCGCAGCGCCACTCTATTAACCAATCAGAAAGCTTATATATTTTTAACACTTTTTGTTCATGCCTTTGCTAATAATATATTTTGCAATTGAATAATATATTTTGTATGACTGAAAAGTCTTGGCTTGGCCTTGACTGATAATCACGTACTCTGACATTTTCATTTATCGCTACCTAAATACAATTTACAGTGTAAATACAGTTTTTTGAGAATCAACTTGTGTCTGACGAAAAGTCGATCGTGGTATAAGTTTTAATAAAAATTACAGAATAAGTTCTAATACAAAATAGCTTATTACATAGCTTATTGAATTGATTTTTTCTGAATCCTCCAGCCTAAAGTAATATTTCAATCGACTTGGCGGGAGCAAAAGGTACATATAGTTGAGGTGGAGCAAAAGAAGAATTTATTGCCTCTATTTAAAAAGTCCTCCATGTATGGACAATCCCGTCTTCATTATTAGATTACTTATACAAAACCAATAATTTCTAGACTTGTAAGATGTTAAAAAACTATTCACTGATTGTGAAAATCGTAATTATACTTCAAAATTGAAAATTAGTTACCCAAAATACTAACTTAGCTCTTCATTTCTTCAACTACAACTTTTACGTATAACTCTGATGATAGTTTTGATCTTAAACAAATCAAAAACACAGCAACAAAGAATTTTTTAGAATTGCTCGATTACATAGTTTGGATAATTTTTATAATTCGTTGTTTTTTTCAGATAAAAATGAACTGGAAGCAGCTCAAAATTTTCTGGAAAGAGCAGCTCAGACTAACCTCGTGAGTTACCGTTATTTTGTTTCATGTTGTATACTTATATTAAACGTTTTACCAATTAATTTATTCTTTTAGCATGAGTTTATCCAAAGACTTAGTGGAGTGCTCGTCACCACTGCCGCTAGTACTGTTGCTCGTATGGCAGCAGGTTTACAGTTGAAAAATCAGCTAACATCAAAAGATTTAACTTTAAAATCAAAATATCAACAACGGTGGCTTGAATTTCCGATTGAAACCAGAGAATTTATTAAAAAAAATGTAAGTACCAATGTTCCATTGATAATTTATGCATCGTTATTATTTATTTTTCAAATAGTTCAATTTTTATTGACATTTTTGCATTAGTGAATCCATTTTGTCCATGTTTGATAATTAATCGAATCCGCTTTTATTTATTATTTTTATATTTATATGTGTAACAAAAGAGTGAAATCGTTTAAGTACTCTAAATATTATTTGCTTCTGTTATAATCTAAAATTGGAACACAGACTCTTATTTGGTCAATAATATTCATTCTTTATTGGTACCATATTTCCAAAATTATGTGTATTGATAAGCGCAAATCATTTCAAAATTTGAAACTGCTGATAATGCATCAACCTAGAGCTTCCTCAGTAAAATGTGATTATTCCTATATGTATGTTAAAATTCTGATAACATGAGGTATTATTTTGTTTTCTAAACGTACTATACCAAATATGCTTTAAGCCTCCAATTTGTACAAAAAAAAAATCTTGCTGTGGTGGTGGAAAGGGGCGAGGCACATGAAACAAACCCTGATAGGCTCGCGCGTTGAAAGAGGAAAACGGCTCGCAGATAGTCAGATATTATATTCATTCGTATTATCAAAAACTTTTTAAAGCACAATCTGACGTTTTTTAGCGCTAAAGTACAGTCAAAGCTTTAATCTATTTTCACTGCTGAATCAAATTTTCTAACTTTTAATCTAACTATCTTGTCTAGTTCTAAAAATAGAAAAAAAATTTTTAATTTATTCAGAATTGTATTTATTTATAATATTACAAGAAGAAAGCGATATGGAAAAAATTTTCACGTGTTATTCTACAGAAAGTTCATCGAATACTTCCTACGCGAAAAGAAAATTTTCGAAATATATCGTATCCATGACTTAAACGAAATGAAAATTTATATTTTATTAATAACTACATCGTAGTTCAGAAAATTGTCCCATTTTTTCCTGTTTATTAATTCAGTTAAGAGATAATTGCTCTTTATTCAAGCTATTACAAAATTATCGTGTAAATTTATTGTTGCTAGCAGTTGCTAAAGCATTATCAGTGTAACAAAGTTCAACTTTTGCCATTAAAAATGATTGTGAAATCAATTTCTTTCAATCCGGCAATAAAAAAAATGATTTTCATCAACTATATCGCTAATTTTATGGCTTTCGTGAAAAAAATTGTTTTCATTTTCCTCTATTTCCAATATTCAAGTATATAATACAATTTTTCGCAGTAACGTTTTTCCTTAAAGTCGGAAAAACATGAAAATCATTTTTCTGATCGAAAGTTACATTTCGTTTATTAAACTATTTCTACTTATTATAATTACATTAGTAAATTATTTATTTAGGATAAGATAGTACTATTTCAGAAATTCTGAAGAAAAGTTGACGAACAGCTTTTTTTGACTTAATTTGTATTATGAGAACAAAATCGACTAATTTATTGTTGAACTCAATTTTTCAGATCTTAGGTGCTCTGGGAACTGAAAACAGCAGACCAAGCTCGGCAGCTCAATGCGTAGCCTATGTAGCTGTAGCTGAACTTCCTGTTGGACAATGGAGTGAACTTATTCCTCTTTTAGTGAATAATGTTGCTAATCCAAATAGTACAGAAATGATGAAAGAAGCTACTCTTGAAACCATTGGCTACATATGTCAAGAAATAGACAGTGAAGTCCTAGTAACACAATCAAATCAAATTTTAACGGCAATTGTACATGGCATGAAAGGCTCAGACACATCGATACATGTTCGATTAGCAGCTACAAGTGCATTGTTAAATTCTTTGGAATTTACCAAAGGAAATTTCGAGATTGAGGTATATATTATATTATCAGAAATATTCTTCATGCAACTGTTAAAACCTTCCAGTCCGTTTTTTCTTTCCAGTAAAAAAAGCACTAGTTACAATATTATTTCACAACTATGAGACTTAACTTTACTTCTAGATTAAAAGTTGAATAATATACAGTAAAAACAATCGTCAGTTAAAGAATATTCGTCAATTTGAACTATAGAAAAGGAGTCATGATAATTAGACGAATCTGTCCCTTTAAATAGATCCAGTGATGTGTTTAAAATAGTGATATCGAAATTATTGTTGTTTTGAGATATTTAATATCTGTAAAAACAAGCCCCCCCACCCCTCCAAATTATAAGACAATTCCCTAAAAAAAGTTACAGAGGCATGTTTTACTCGGTTCTGTCTATTTTATGTATGTTAAAACAATTTTCGATAGATTAGATGCAGGAATTTTAGTTAGCGCTTAGGCTATTCTACGTCATTAATGCACTAGTATCTTGAAGTGATCGAAAAAAATCAGTAAATGTTTTATTTGTTTCACCATTGAAGACTGAACCGACGGACTGGAAGCAAATTACTCTTATAAAATTAAATATTTGCAATAAAAACGATTATTTTATTGCTATAACTTATCCTATCTTAACTCTGTGTTTTCAGTCAGAACGAAATTTCATTATGGAAGTAGTTTGTGAAGCTACGCAATCAACTAACACCCAAATTAAAGTCGCTGCTCTTCAATGCTTGGTTAAAATTATGTCCTTGTATTATCAATTTATGGAACCGTACATGTCACCAGCTCTATTTCCGGTAAGTGAAAACGATTTATCATTAGCTTACTCATATGCATGGTTACAAATAAGATAAAAATAATGATTAATAAAATTAAGGTGCAATGTTAGGTGACAAGACAAATCCAGTATTGTATTGAGTTATCAGCCCTTAAAAATTAGAGTATAATGTTTTTTTTTCTACCTCCGGACAAGGGGTAAAATAGCTAACAAAATTAAATTTTTATTTATCTAGTATAATTTAAAAAAATAATTCAGCTTGATTCGGATATTAAATGTTTTCACTTTATTATACACTTGATATTTAAGTAGCTATTTAGATTCGTATTCAGAAAGAGTCTTAGAAAACAATTTTGAAATCTCTCACTTTTGGCCTAACTTCGATAATGTGGGGTACTCTAAACGATCGAATCCCCCCCCCCCCCCCCCCCCCCC